CCCGTTCTTTCCGCACAGAGGCTTCTGCTGCCCAGGCGGGGCTAACCCCGGCTCCGTGCCGACACCCACGCAGGCCCCAAAATGGCCCCATGGTCTTGCTGCTGCCCAGCCAGTAGCGATGGCACGCTGGCCTGCGGCCCCTTCCCCTCCTGCCAGGATGCTGTTCCAGGTCAGGACACTCCCCCCATACCAGGGGAGCTTAGGGCAGGGGGAGGCAGCAAATGCAGCTGGAGGAATAGCCGAGATGTTTCACAGCTCTTCTGTAGCAAGCCCAGCCTCTGGCCAAGGATGGCGGCGCCACAGCCAAAGCTGGGAGGAGGGTGGTTTGCTGGCCTTCCGCAAAAGGAAAAGGGGAAGGGAAGGTTTGTGCAGGCCTGTCCAAGCACTGTGCCTTCCCTGGGCACCGCTGCAGGGCTGAGGAGCTGGGACCTCCGCCGCTGGCTCCCCCAGGACACCCCAGGGGAGTGGGGTCTCCAGAGGCTGTGCTGCACGCTGCAGCACCAGCACCCTGAATGCCACTGGCAGCAGCGGGCCAGCGCTTGCAGAGAGACCGACTGCGAAGAGAACAGGCTGAAGCAGCGACTACAGAAAATAGACTTTATTCTTTTTCCAGTTCAGAGGAGAGTTCCCATTACACAGACCACGAACAGGCAAAGGCTCCGCAGCCAGCAGCACGAGGCGCTCGCCCCTCTCACTGCTGCGGGCTGGGCAGCGCAGCAAGGGCTGCTGTGGGCTCCGGGGGGGTTTCTGCTGCTTCCTGTGAGCACCAGCAAGGACATCTCCCCCGGGGCTCTTGGAGGCAGCAGGTATTAGTGGGTCAGGTGGTTTTTAAAGCCTCTGCAGCTGCAGTGAAGGTGGAGGGGAGGCTGGCAGCACCCAGGTAGGTTTAGCCTCAGTGCCCCGGGCCAGTAAGCTGGCTGTCATTCAGGTGTTCAGTTTGTCACCAGGTCAGGGGTAATGGGAAAGCACAGAGACAGAAGCAAATCAGTGCTAGAGGTGCTGTTTCTGCCACACAAGAGAGGGGAAAAGTCTTAAATTCAACCAGAAGAAGAAAAAATAAAATAGCCAGGTCAACCTTTATTAAACATGAACACAGAAATGTACCATCAACCTCCTATTATAAAAGTATTTTACATACATTCAAGGAGACATCGTATAAATATCAGTATGAAATGTCACTGCCTGCAAGAGTTCCACACTCAGCTAAAATTTTGCCAACATCTTAAAATTTCCTTAAAACATTTTAAGTGAACAAACACAAAACAAAGCCAGCCAGCTGCCAGGCTGCGTGGTGCCTTGGGTCCGGCGCTCGCTGCGAGTGCCTGGGCAAAACACATCCCACCTCCCAGCGCGGGCCAGCACAGCTCTCCTGCGAGCTGCTCCGGGCGTTAGTGAGTGAAAGGGTTGCTTGGCTACACCAGATGGTGGGAGGTTAAGGCACAGGTTTTAATTCCACAGTTCAGCTGGCCGGAGTCCGAGATGTGCTCCGGACAGGCTGTTCCACAGGCTGGGACATTTCCCAAGCCTGCTTACAGGAGACCTTTGGATGGGCTGGGGGCCCGCAGAGACGTTCAGGATCCAGCACAAACTCCTCTATGACTGCAAATCAGTCCTGATGTTGTGGTAACGTTTCAGACCCCAGGAGCAATGGGGCTGCTTCTCGGCAGGGCTCACTTCCCACCAGATCCCCTGTGGCGATGCAGTACACGCTTCGCAGGGACCCCAGATGAACTGGACTCTACAGACCCAGCAGGAAGGGAGCCGGAGCCTTGGGGCATCTCTCCCTGCTCTGCACAGGGCCCACGCTGCTGCGAAACACCAGAACATGCTACTTACACAGGCTGCCCCAGCTGCATGGGAACACCCAGGAACACCCGAGCTCTCCACCCTGTACCCATGGCAGATGGGAGAACATTCCCCAGGGGCTACTGCTCTTGCCTCTCCTCAGCCCTAACTACGGAGCTGCACACAGCACACCCCCAGCTTGCTGCAGGGGCTCTGCTGGGCCAGCAGCCCTGAGCAGAGTGGCGAGTGTCACTGCAGCCAGGAGACAACCCCGACTGAGCTGCTCAGGAACACCCACAGCAGAAACTGGCTCCTCAGGCTCTTCTAATGGGACGAGAGGTCATGTTGCTTGCGGGCAGCCGCCCCCACATCTGGCATGCTCCCGAAGCAGAGAGCTCCTGGGGAAGTATGCAGCCCCAAAGCATCCACCTGAGATAAGAGCACAAGGCCAACACCTGGTGAGATCCCCTGCTTCTGTGGGCAGCACCCTCCCGGATGCTGCACGCTTTCAGACTGGGACAGGTGATGCTGGGCTGGAGACTAGGGATCTGAAGAGTATGGGTGCAGCTGCGGTGCTTGCCTCAGCAGGAGCTGCAGAGGCGTGTGGTGGGGTGCAGCAGACCTCTGGCCTCTGTACAGAACCCCCCGGGCACCTGCTGAATTGGTGCCATGGGGGTACAGGGAGGAGGCAGATACCACTGAACGCAGCCTGGCTGAGCACAAAATCAGTGCCAGCCCCCAGTCTCCAGCTGGCCACGTCTGGCTAGTGCTGCACGTCACTGACTCCAGCCTTTTCTTCTGAGACAGTAGCTGGAAAATCGGGGTGAGTATCACTCCCAAGGCCAGCATGCTCCAGGCTGCCAACTCACAGTGTCTTAGAAAATTAAGACCCTCTTAACAAGGGGTTTGTTTCTAACTATGTAGTTAGGCTAATGCAAAGAAGAATACAAGAAAACTGAATCTGATTCTACTAAAAGGAACCTACTCTCACAAATGGAGTCAGGAAAGCAGAGGTGGAGGTTAATAATCATACCCTTCTTCCTAACATTCATGAGGATTTAGTTCTCTCAAATTATTCCTAGTCTAGACAAAGACCCTGTTCACATCTGAACAGTCTACAATAGTGTTGTGCTGTATCTAATGTTTATAGGCAGTTTTGAGGGAAAACCTGTGGGATCTAGGGACTGGGTCATAGATAGCTGGAATCCCATGATCTCTGCTTGTTAACAGGGCTTGTGCACACACTGATGAGAAGCCACGAGAATCAACTCAGAGCACTTTCCGCTACAAGGAACTACATATCCTAGAAACATTCCCTTATCTTTCTATTTTCCAGTAATCCCACACTGAGGAAATAAAGACATTGTAATAAATTAACTGCTTTGACCACTCAGGGAAGGAGAGAGGACACATTTCACAGCAATAGAGGTATTTTTGACATTTTCATTAATATTTCCTATGGAAAAAAACCATAGCTCTTTTCAGCTTTGTGAAACACGGGAGGTTCAGGTCTGCCATCAGTATTTTTCTATAAAAATAAGGTTTTGGGTTTACTTGGGTTCTACAACTAAGCTGAATAGCAAGGAGAAGGCTCTTAGAAATACTTCTGCTGTTGTATCACCCTTCCCTCTGGAGACTCCCTGCTAGAGGAATTCAGCTGGCTTCTCTAAGTCTCTCCTTCAGACAAGCTCTAGCTCTGCTGAGTCTAGTGCTCCTTTCTGCCACACCTTTGTACATGGCGGGCCTGTGCTCCGGAGGAAATGACCTGGGGTCATGTTCTACTGCACAGTTTGCATTGGGTAGGTTTTCTTCATCAAGCTGAAAAGTGAGTCCCCGAATGTATGAGATTTCTGCCCCGCCAGTGATGGAGAGGGCTTGCAGGAGCTGCAGTCGCACCTTTGCTCCAACTTCTTACAGGAAGTCTAACTCAAGGGCTTGGTGAAGGGACACGAGGTCTGCATGGTTTGTGATCCTCCAGAAAGGCATGTTGTGCTGTAACACAGAGATGATGAAGTCAGCTTTATTGGAGTGAGTTGACAGCTCGGTGGAAGCACTCAGGGTACACTGTAGGGTTGTGCAATACGACATGGTGACAGCGCTGTCTGAGCACAGCGTGTTCAGGAAGGGCTTCAGCCACATGCACATCATTACCTGAAGCCCAGCTTGTCCGTGTACCTCTTTCTGACGGACACCAGCACTGACTACCAGCTGCCCTGCATGTTCGTGACAGAAACCTCAGTGCTCGGCTGTGAGCTGCTGCTTCACCCAGGAAAGCCTTTCCAGGGCTCCCAGGGAACCTGCACAGACGACAACTCTGGCACGTGGCAGACTGCGTGGGGCCTGCAGAGACCATGTCCTGACAGTAATCTGTGCACTTCACTTTTACTTAGCGTGACTGAACAACCTATTCAGGCCTGTCCAAATAAATCCAACTGTTTGCTCCTTGTTTGTAATTCAGACTAATGGTAGATGCTTTGTATTGATCTGACTGCTGGCAACTGAGTCCTGGCTCCCTCCGTGAGAACTTACATCATCCTAACTGATAGCTGCATACTGCGATCACGACATGGTACATCAAGGTGCTGTTTTACAGGGAGAGTGTTACACACAATCTTAAACATCACTAAACCAGAAACTTTAAACCCCCAAGAGCCAGAAAATTCCCCATCTTAATGCAGCAAAAGACCTCTTGTGTCAAAGGCAAAGTTCCCCTCTGGCTGCCCCAGCCTGAAGCGTTCATCCCTGGAAAAAGAATCTCTGCAGAAAGAGGCTGCTGCAGTAAGTTCTCTTTGCACCAACCCGCCTGTGCAGTGTCAGAAACCCACCTGCTTAGCTGCAACCTCTTCGTCACGCCCATCTCCAATTACCACATAGGTGACTTTCTTTCCAAATCGTGACACGATCCTCTCAAAACAGCTCTCTTTACCTGCCAAAGACCACTATAATGAGCCTTAGGCAGAGGGTAATAGAAGCCTGAACAGGTCCCTTCTTCCCAGTACAGAAACACGCTCTTGTCAAACTGGGAAGGGAGCAACACCCAGTTCAGCTCGTGAAGCCAGAAGCCACCACTATGACATGGCCAGCTGGACCACAACAGCCACAGGGGCTGCTCACCTGCAGGGAGTGTATTTCCTGTGTAAAAACCCCAGCTAACGCGGCAGCAGACACCTCAGTGGCTGCACGCAGCAGTGTCAGTGCTTGGCACAACCCCTTACCTATTTTTGTAGCACTATAAATATTTTCGATGGGAAACACCTCGCCCAATCCATACAGGAGGACTTTGGCCAGAGCCGGCACCAGCTGGGTGGTTGTGATCAGGATGTTCACACAGTTTTTTCTGAAAGAAGAAGAACACTTGTAAAGCACATCTCTGGCCAGCGGTGCCAAGCGCTACTCTGGGCAGCTTGCTCAGCTTTCCAGAGTGCCGTGTGCTTTGCTGTCCTGCTTTCCAAGAGGCTTTTTAAGCCAAGATTTTGATTTGTGGGTTTTGTTTGTCTGCTTTTTGCTTTAAACAGAAATTCTCTGTCAGAAACGCAGTTTTGTCAGCACAGTCCTATTATGGGGACCTTCTTAACAACAGATGTTACAGCAGAAAAATCCCCAAGGGTGCTTACTCACCCTGCTTCCTGCACTCCCTCTGCTTCCCTGTGACAAGCAGCAGTAGTACTACCTACGGACACTGCTGCAACACAGCACTGCATGCAAATCTAGGGGAGAGAAGGGCTGAGAAAGCCACATACACATTTCCAGCCTCCATACCTGGACTGTATGAGCAGCAGGGACTTTAATGAAGTTTCCAGCCAGGAATCCGTTAGCACTTCTATATCGGTCCTTAGTCGCTGCAGCACTTCCCTCTTCTGTGGGCTGAGAAGGCCTTGGAATACAAGCAACACGTTTTCCCAGCTGAGCTGGCAAGTCTAACAGAGAGAGCACCATCACTCCCTTCGGCAGCTGCCTGTCAGCAACAAATAACAGGGTACGAGGGCACCTGAAAGCTGAGACTGTCTCGAGGCAATGGGAGAAAGCAGCTCCCAGTGACACCCACGAGCACAGACAGCCATCTGTGATGCTGAATGTGGGGAATTGGGCACATACATTTATCAGATTATTTCAAACCAGGATACTTGCACCAAAATGCATTTCTCTTGTAGACAGCACTCACAACGGGAGGTGTTGTACAGGGCCACAGACAGTGGGGGAAGGAACTCCTGCAATAGCCCTGTCTGACTCCCCACAGGGACCCTTCCCACTTTAATCCCTTCTAGGTATCTTTTTCTATCCTTTGCTTTCAATCCCCATATTTTTTATGCCTTTTAGATATCATTTACTCAAAGCATCCAGTTTTGAGTTAAAAGCAGCCAGACAAGGAGCCCATACACTCAAACCTGCTCCCATCAGTAAATACAAGCAGAAAGAAGCACCTTGAGTCTCCACCCAATTTCCACCGTGACGTACGAACTCCCCACCTCACTCCAGCCCCGAAGTACACGGGTCCTCTGACAATGAGAACACAGAGGGACCCACTATGGGCTGCAGCAACAACTGCTTTACCACTGTGGCTTTAGACAGGCCCTGAAAAACTCTGCATCCAGGATTCCCACATGAAAAACATGGAATAATGGTCTGATCCCTACCAGAAATAAGGATAATTGCAGCATACTGAAATAGATTCACACAGATTTTTAAGGCTGAAAGTTAGAGTTCTGAACACCTGGTTTTTAGAAAACATGTCCAAGAAAACATTCTATCAAGACTTTTTTTTTTTTGGCGTAGGCAAAGGGTACCCGAACCCACCAGGATGACTCACTCTGCTGGGTGGGCTGCTCCAGCAGCACCCCTCTCCCAGGGATGTCAATGTCAAAATTCAGACTAAACAGAAAATATATCTAGATTTGATATCTGTGGTTGGCATCATTATTACTGCTTTGGCATTGGAAGGGAAACAAAACAAGAAGATTTTAAGTGATTCTGTGAACAGATGGTAGAGATGTCATGTCAGGCTAGGAGCACAACAACCAAAAGGGTGAACACTGTATTTCTTGACAATAACATGATAAAAGACAGGTTTTGTGAAGACAGAAGTGGAAAGACCTCCTAAGCAGCATATCTAAGTCAGTTAGGCTTGTTCTAAGCAGAGTGACAGGCAGACTTTCATACAAAATTAGCAAAGGGACACGGCTTGCACAAAAATTTTCTCTTAGCTACAGGACTGACTGACCACCCGAGTATGTGGTAACTCACAGACTGCACTGGCATGCTGTTCAGTTTTGGAAGAGGCACCCTCTTAGATTCCATGGAGGTTTGATCCCATCTGAACAGCAGGAGAAAGGTTACGTTTCATGTCCAAACATTCAGGACAGCAAAAGCTCTGAGAAGGCCAGTCTGGCACCACAAACTCTTGTTTAGCGCTCAGATATTGGTTCAGGTGAACACTCACCTCCAACGTTGGTTTTGTATTTGTCGTAGATCTCTCGTACCCTGCGGTAGCGGAAGGCCAGTTTTCTCATCCAGTCCACTCCACCCTGGACACCAACTGACGAGCCGTGATTTGCGTTACTTCCTGAGCCACTGAAGCCATCCGTAGAGAAGTTATAGTTGCTATTTCAGAAACGCAGATCTGTTACGTGTGCCACAGCAGCAGAATAACTGAACTTTTCTGGCAGGGTTGCAGACTTCAACTCTGACAGAAGCTAGAAAAGCACCTTGCAGAGGAACTGCACAACCACCACTGCATCCAGCGGTGCAGATGACTTCTATGGACAAGGTAGTCCAACTACATTTCAACTACATTTGCTGCTGGTCCTGAACTGCTGCACTGAAATGTACTGATTGCACTACTCTTTC